TGGATCCATTCATCTGTGGTGGGGCATCTGGGTTGTTTCCATATCCTAGCTATTGTGAACAGTGCTGCAATAAACATGGAGGTGCACGTGTCCTTTGTCCCTGCCCTTTAAAGGTCCCTGAATCACACACATTAAGGACACATCTAGTTAATAGCCAATATAATGAACTTTCTAAATACAAGTAACACAGCAAAGTTGGATAAAGAAATTCAAAGACCAAGTTAACTACATACACAAAGTAATTCCCTGCATCAGAAAAGTATTCACAATTAAGTCTTGTGATCAAACAGAAAGATTTGGGTCAGGAAACAGAACTGTATGTCACTGTTGAGGCATGTCGATGATGTCAGCTGTTAGCTATTTTACATTATCTGTTCTTCCCCCAAAATTCCTGGTAGCAACTTGTAAATATCTGCTATGAAAGTTTACAATTGATTTACTAATGTGAGCATAAAATCATATCAACTGGCCATGTGAAACTATTTTAGCATACTATTAGCATAGTTATTTGTTTTCTTCTTCCTACCCTTTCTCCCTCTATACTGGGGTTTGAACCCTGACAGGAAGGGGAAGAGTCTCCAGAGATTTAACTGCAGTAGGTCAGAGAGAAGGATTTAGTGGATAGCCAGAGTTGAGAATGACTGATTTAGTGGAACCCCTTATTTTAAACAGAGAATAAATCACTTATCTAAAGAGTGGAAAGACAGGAAAGAGGCAAATTACTACACTCTATGTGAAAAAGAGAATGCAACAAAATTAAGACAGTGGTATCAAAGCCAGGCTACCAATTTAGGGCCCATATTCCTTCCACGAACACAAAACACAGCTATGCCAAGATACAAATGCAGTGGAATGAAAAACATGAAAAATGAAGAGAGTCGGCTTCAGACAGTGGGGAGGAGCAGTAGGGAGAGGGAGTGGCCCATGTATTAGTGTGTACTAGCACAGGCTTGGAAGCTGGGTGTGCTGTCAGGCACTGTGCTGGCCTCCGGCCTCCCTGCCAGCAGGGACACAGCCCTGCTTATCGGGAGGTCCTAGTGGCTGAGGAAAACCCCTCCTCCCGTTGTTGCAATTTAGCAGCGTGCTCACGTCACTCTGCAATTAAACAAGGAAAGAAATAAAATCTACACTATGTTTGGACTACAAATAACGGGATTTTTTTTTTTTTGCCAGTCCTGGGGCTTGAACTCAGGGCTTGGGCACTGATCCTGAGGTGCTTTTGCTCAAGGCTAGCACTCTACCACTCGAGCCACAGTGCCACCTCCCACTTTTTCTGTTTCTGTGGTACTGAGGAATTGAACCCAGGGCTTCATGCATGCTAGGTGAGCACTCTACCACTAAGCCACATTCCCAGTGCATAGAACATCTTTTAAGAGAAGATTATAATTCTTTCAAATAAACAGCTTCTAAATAGTTTTAAAGATTATTTGTAGCAGTTAGATTTCATGCATAGCCATTAAATATGTAACAAAAATGTACTATGAACATACCAAATACTAATGCTATATACTATACTGATGTATAGAAAACTTACTAATAGCACTTCTGTGCTAAAAATGGTTGTTGGAGTTCTAAGGAATGCTAATGGGA